ACTGGGACGGTTGCAGACGAGTGTGAAGCGGCTGGGATGAGAATCAGCACCTCCAAATCTGAGGCCATGATGCCTGACCGGAAAAAGGTGCCTTGCCCTCTCGAGTAATGAGTAATGATTAATGAGTAATGATTATTTATATAGCGCATTTATATATATAAAAAACAAATTATATAGTGGAAAAAAAGCATCTGCGCATGCGTCAGCCGGCGCAAGCTCCATTCATTTGAACGAGAGACTTAAAAAATTCACAGCGAGTAAAGTAGAGTGGTCCAAAAAAATTCACCCCCCTCAGCATTGACACACATGTGGAACGGAGCTTTGGGCCAAGAGCCAACTTTTGGACCATCCTTTTCGAGAGGTCTGCCAATGCTATACGTTAGCATTGGCTAATTCTTATTCCGGGTCCACCCCCATCGGCCCGGGGTGGTACTGCAAGCATGTCAGCGCATCATTTTGGCCACTTTCGAGCCGGGACCCGCCCCCACTGATCAGCCCCCAATCTTCATTATCCATTAATACCTATTGAGCATGTTTTTAGTGGTAGGGGAAACCGGAGCACCCGGAGGAAACCTATGCAGACACGGGGAACATGCAAACTCCACTCAGTAAGGCACTGTTCTGACTGGGATTCGAACCCAGGACCTTCTTGCTGAGAAGCAAGAGTGCTATCCACTCAGCCACCATGCCGCCAAAGTGGAGAGGTCCTTCCTCACGTCGAGGAGTTCAAGTATCTCGGGGTCTTGTTCACGAGTGACGGAAGTATGGAGCGTGAGATTGACAGGTGGATTGGTGCAGCGTGCGCAGTGATGCGGCCACTTTAGATTTACGGGTCAATTCTTATTCCCTCCATCACCTCTGGTCATGAGCTTTGGATAATGACCGAAAGAACGAGATTGTAGATACAAGCGGTGGGAAAGAGTGGTTGGGCACTCCCTTAAGGTGTTTTCACTGAAAATGAATAGTGAAGCGCGTCAGGTGACGCTGAGAGGCCCGGCGTCACTTGAAGCACTTCAAAAGATGCGAGCATTATGCGCGTCACTTGACACGCGCAATGCTTGCGTCTCTTTTGTCGTAAAAAAGTCCCTTAACGCCGAAGTTGAGAAAAGCTTTTGGAGCTTGACGCCGGGCTTCAACCAATCTGGAGACGAGGAGCAGCAGCAGCAGCAGCAGGGCTGTCATGTAGCTGCTTCTGCTTTTTCATTGTCCATCCATCCATCCATCCATCCATTTTCTTCCGCTTTATCCGTTGCCGGGTCGCGGGGGCAGCAGTCTAAGCAGAGACGCCCAGACTTCCCTATCCACACACACTTCCTCCAGCTCGTCCGGGGGGACCCCAAGGCGTTCCCAGGCCAGCTGAGAGACATAGTCCCTCCAGCGTGTCCTAGGTCTTCCGCGGGGCCTCCTCCCGGTGGGACGTGCCCGAAACACCTCCCCAGGGAGGCGTCCAGGAGGCATCCGGAACAGATGCCCGAGCCACCTCAACTGGTTCCTCTCGACGTGGAGAAGCAGCGGCTCTACTCCGAGCTCCTCCCGTGTGACTGAGCTCCTCACCCTATCTCTAAGGGAGCGCCCAGCCACTCTGCGGAGGAAGCTCATTTCGACCGCTTGTATCCGCGATCTCGTTCTTTCGGTCATTACCCAAAGCTCATGACCATAGGTGAGGGAGGGAACGAAGATTGACCGGTAAATCGAGAGCTTTGCCTTTCGGCTCAGCTCCCTCTTCACCACAACGGTCCGATACAGCGACCGCATAACTGCGCACGCTGCACCGATCCGCCTGTCAATCTCACGCTCCATTCTTCCCTCACTCGTGAACAAGACCCCGAGATACTTGAACTCCTCCACTTGAGGAAGGACCTCTCCACCCACCTGCAGAGGGCAAGGCACCTTTTTCCGGTCGAGCACCATGGCCTCGGATTTGGAGGTGCTGATTCTCATCCCAGCCGCTTCACACTCGGCTGCAAACCGCCCCAGTGCATGCTGCAGGTCCTGGTTCGTTGGAGCCAACAGGACAACATCGTCCGCAAACAGCAGAGATGAAATCCTGTGGTCTCCGAACCGGACCCCCTCCGACCCCTGGCTGCGCCTAGATATTCTGTCCATAAATACAGTGAACAGAACCGGTGACAAAGGGCAGCCCTGTCGGAGGCCAACATTCACCGGGAACAGGTCTGACTTACTGCCGGCAATGCGAACACAGCTCTGGCTCCGGTCATACAGGGACCGGATGGCCCTCAGCAGAGGACCTCCGACCCCGTACTCCCGGAGAACCCCCCAAAGGACACCCCGGGGAACACAGTCGAACGCCTTCTCCAAATCCACAAAGCACATGTGGACAGGTTGGGCGAACTCCCATGAACCCTCGAGTATCCGATGGAGAGTATAGAGCTGGTCCAGTGTTCCGCGACCGGGACGAAAACCACACTGCTCCTCCTGGATCCGAGATTCGACCATCGGCCGTAACCTCCTCTCCAGTACCTTGGAGTAGACCTTACCGGGGAGGCTGAGGAGTGTGATCCCACAATAATTGGAACACACCCTCCGGTCCCCCTTCTTGTAGAGAGGGACCACCACCCCGGTCTGCCACTCCATTGGCACTGCCCCCGATCGCCACGCGATGTTGCAGAGACGTGTCAGCCAAGACAGTCCTACAACATCCAGAGACTTTAGATAGTCAGGGCGGATCTCATCCACACCCGGAGCCTTGCCACCATGGAGGCTACCAACCACCTTGGTGACCTCAGCCAGGGAGATGGATGTACCCGCCCCAACATCCTCAGCCTCTGCCTCTGTGACGGAGGACGTGACGGGGGGATTGAGGAGAACCTCAAAGTATTCCTTCCACCGCCTGACAATATCCCCAGTCGAGGTCAGCAGCTCTCCACACGCACCGTACATGGTGTTGGCAAAGAACTGCTTCCCCCTCCTGAGGCGTCGGATGGTTTGCCAGAATCTCTTCGAGGCCGACCGATAGTCATGCTCCATGGACTCTCCGAACTCCTCCCAGTCCCGGGTTTTTGCCTCTGCAACAGCCCGGGCCGCGGCACGCTTGGCCTGCCGGTACTGGACAGCTGCCTCAGGAGTCCCCCGAACCATCATGGCTCGATAGGACTCCTTCTTCAGCCTGACAGCATCCCTTACTGCCGGTGTCCACCACCGGGTTCGGGGGTTGCCGCCGGGACCAGCACCAGAGACCTTGCGACCACAGCTACGAGCCGCCGCATCGGCGATTGAGGCAGAGAACATGGTCCACTCGGACTCCATGTCCCCCTCCTCCGCCGGGACCTGGGAGAAACTCTCCCGGAGGTGTGAGTTGAAAGTCCGTCTGACAGGGGGCTCAGCGAGACGTTCCCAGCAGACCCTCACTATACGCTTGGGTCTGCCAGCCCATTTTTCATTGTCATTATTGTTATTTGTAATATTATTTGTATGAATAGTAACGTTCTTAAAAAGTAAGTAACACAATCAATGTACATATGCTTTGAAGTTAAAGTAATTTATTTAGTATAAGAACAAGCTAAAGCTGGCTCAGACACAGCAGACTGAAAGACAGGCGCTCCTCCGCGGGAATCAGTGCGAGCTCCAGGCGGGAGCGAGAGAAGCTCCTCCCACCCGGCGTCAGGAGCTTCAAGCACCAAGGGGCGTTCACACCGGACCCAGCGTCAAATATAGCGCGTCAAAAGCGTTTTGAAGCTATTGGTCTGAAAGCACCTTTAGAGATAGGTTGAGGAGCTCAGTCACACGGAAGGAGCTCGGAGCAGAGCCTCCGCTTGTCGACAAAAGGGGCCGTAGCCTCTTTTGTGTATTTTTTTACCAAGGGGGGTACTTTGACTAATTATTTCTCAAATTTTCCACAATAAAAGTTACAGTAGACCAAAAGTGACATGTTTTGACCATTTTTAGGCAATTTTGGACCAAAATGGCTAGTTTAAATCAATATTTCTCAATATTTCTACAGTAAAAGTTTCTGGTCTTTGGTACAGTGGTAGAGGGCAATCATGAGGTCATGAATCCAGTGAAATTAGTCGCACACCTTTTTACAGTAAAAGGTTACAGTAGATCAAAAGTGACATGTTTTGACCATTTTTAGGCTATTTTGGACCAAAATGGCTACTTTAACTCCATATTTCTCCAAATTTCTACAGTAAATGTTTCTGGTCTTTGGTACAGTTGTAGAGGGCAATAATAAGGATATGAGTCAAGTGAAATCAGTCGCACACCTTATTCCAGTAAATAGTTACAATACTTGAAAATTGCACTAGCGGACCAAATTGTGTACTTTATATATGTAAACAATAGAGTGGCTATCCTCCTGAGGACTCACAATCTGCCGGAGGAATCGTAGGGGGCTAGTGCTATGTGTACCGGGTGGCATCTCTATAAGGTTTTAATCACAAAAACGTGTCTACCAGACCCCAGCGCGCTTTCTGTTCGATAAAAATGGGTGACTCCGAAAGGACGTTCCGCTGTTACCAAAGAAACGCGCACCGTATTTTCCCCGATGCGGGCCGCTTGTTCATAGAGCTGAAAGATGCGGGCCACTTTACCACGGTGTGGACAGGATCCATCACAGCGGCGCACCTTCACTGACAATGGAGATGTCTTTTGGAGCAGACTCCAGCCGACGCACGGTTTTACGAGATGTCGTGCTGCTTCCAAACACTTCTCTATTTTCTGTATGTGATTAGCAAATATTGGTGAAAGAATGTTGACTCAAATTTGATGGTTTGTCCTGTATGATCCAGTTTATGCTTGTTTTATTTTTTAGAGAAAATTTTACCATTCATCACCACCACCCACCAATAATATAATAGATCCATGCAAGAAAGGTTAACAGTTTAACAAAACAAATACAAAAACCACGCACGCATGTTTAACTTCCGGAACATTTACCAGTATCACGTGACGGCTTTGTTTTGCTGCCGGTCTCTTCCGCTCCCAGGTTGTAGTTTCTGCTGCATGCAGCGTACGTGCGTTTGTGTGTATGTACTTATGGTATGTACCGTGGGACTCAGTCACGTCTCCGGGACATGCACTTCACTCAGTGGAGGCCGCAGGTGCTGGGCTTGAGCATAGACTGAGGATTGAGCAGTGAGAGTTGTTTCCATGTGTGCTGCAGCTCAGACACGCGTCTCTGAGTCTGGAGCGGACAGAACATACAGGGGACGGACCGGACTCGACCGCTCGGGTATGGAGATGTTGTGATCATCTTTGTCACTAAAACATTGTGTGTTTGAGGGCACATGCGTGTCTGCTCGTTTGTGTTTGTGTGTCTGTGTGTGTGTTTTCACTTACATAATGCTGTTGTTGTGTACCACAGGTGCTACCTGGGAGCCTGAGCCACCTCCGTTCAGACGTGTGTGTGTGTGAGTGAGTGAGTGTGTGTGTGTGTGTGTGTGTATACATGATGACAGGGGACCGGTCTGTGTCCAGACACCCCGTGTGGCGCCTGCTGTCCTCCCAAGGCAGAGCCCCGGAGCGGGTGCTGGTGTCTCGCACTGACAGTTTGTCCGGAGAGCAGGTGCTAAAGATCACGGTGACTGAGAGCACGGTGCTGGAGGCCGATGCCGGAGTCTGGAGCAGCCGCTCGCTGGTCTACATGGGACTTTGGTACTTCTTCAGCTTCTGCACACTCTTCCTCAACAAGCACATCCTGTCCCTACTGGAGGGGGAGCCAAGTGTGTTAGGTACAACTACTACAGCAACTGCTGCTGCTACTACTACTACTACTTCAACTTGTATTGCTGGTAATGCTGCTGCTGCTACTTCTACTACTGCTGCTACTACTGCGACTCCCTCTCCCCTCTCTATTGTGCGAGACCATGTAGAAACTTACACAAGGAGAGTTTCTTTCAACTTTTAAAGTCTATTCTGTGAACCACATGAAGCCAGTGCAGAGACCTGAGACCAGGACTTATGTTAGAGGACTTCAGGACACAGTTATTATTATACATCCACATTTACCAGACACTGCTGTTTCACAACGGCCAGTCTTGTGCAGCTACCAGGGCTGGACTGGCCATCGAGCGTACCAGGCAATGCCCGAAGGGTCGATGTTCATATTTGGGCCGCTCTGCCTGCCTCATACAAAAAACATTTGTGCGAACTGTATAGATCCATCGAGAAATGTTCGAGGGGGGGCCTGACCACGAGGCATTTGCTGTTGTATGCTGTATGTACTCGAACGGGAGTCTACATCCTCCGTGGCAGCGTTCTGACCCAGGGCAGCTGTGGCCGCTCTGGACAGCGGTTCCCACCTCCAGTGGCTATGAGCAGCTTTGACAACAACACAGCGAACGGTGCTGAAGTTGGACTATGGAGCCTCAGGAAGTGTCCGTGTCTCCCCCGTCTCCTCCCGAAGCGCAATTCAACTCGCTAAATTAAAGCTGGGGTACCTAATTTTTCCCTTGCATTTACAGTTCATGTTGGTTGTGCCCAAAAGTAAAATGTTGTCATTAGCTTACATTATGCATTTTAGACTTATAAATGTCCCATTCTCAACCCTGTAACATACAACAGTGTTGGTCTGTGTCCATCTCCCTCAGTCTCAGACATGTTTATTACTCTCGTAATGTAGACTATTGCGCTTTATTTTGATTGTTGAAACTACATACATCCTCTACAGTATGTGCATCCATATACCGTATAAATAATTGTGAAAAAAAAAAACCCTGCCTGGGCCGTCAAGGAAGCAAAAATGCCTGGCCCGTTTTTTTGGTCCCATTCCAGGCCTGCTGATCAGATGAGAGCATTGCAATTGCGTAGGAGGACACCAGGAGAAGAAGTCGGCTGGTCTCAGGTTTCACTCTTCAGACACACACATAGTTGAAATCTGCTGGTCCCAGGGGCGCTCTCTCCTCAGACAGATTGCAACCACTGCACATGTACATTACATTCAATCAGAATTTTATGATAACTCCTTCTAGTAGTTTTCCTCACAACACTATGACCAGAGAATGAAAAAAGTGGTCAGTGATGCTAACCCTCAGCCTGTCGTCAGGGGCCATCCAGATGCTGTCCACAACCGCGATCGGCTCTGTGAAGATGTGTGTGCCCTGCTGCCTGTACCAGCACCAGCCCCGCTCAGAATACCCCCCCAACTTCCTCATGATCATGCTGTTCGTGGGGCTCATGAGGTCAGTGGCACCACCTCACACTTGCCCTGTCCAAGAGGAGATAAAGCCTTTATGGAGGTGTTCTGTTCTCTGCAGGTTTGTGACCGTGGTCCTGGGGCTGGTCAGTCTGAAGAACGTAGCCGTGTCATTCGCTGAGACGGTCAAAAGTTCCGCCCCCATCTTCACAGTCATCATGTCTCGCCTCATCCTGGGGGAGTACACCGGTAAGCCCCTCTGACATTACCATCAGGTACCCCGTGTCTGCGTAGAATTCCCCTACCACTAAAAACATGTACAATAGGACTGGCATGTGCCTCCTGTACTGGCGCCCTTGCTCCAATCTCTGTGTGGAGTGAGAGGACAAATGCCCACAACAATTTTAAAGCGATTTGTGACTCCGGTCTGTGAAAGGCACTATATAAATAAAGATCACTTACTTTACCCTAAGGTAAGACCCCACTGAGAGAACCACCTAAAGGAACCCTACTTTGGTGCAAGCACTCTGTTAGCTCCTGTTTTAACCCTTATGCGACCCTCAAGTCAAAATGACCTGCCACAGATGAATAATAATAATGAATCTTTATATAGCGCTTTTTTTGACACTCAAACATTTACATGTCATTAATCATTCACTCCACACGCAGTGGTGATAAACTATTACTGTAGCCACAGCTGCCCTGGGGCACACTGACAGAGGCGAGGCAACCAGTATGTGCCATCAGCCCCTCCTCCCAGAGGTTAAGTGTCTTGCCAAGGACACAACGACATCAGTGGAAGTCGGTGGAGAAAGTTTTGTGGTGGGCTCGAACCCACGACCTTCTGGCTCAAAGGCCAATGCTCTACAAACTGAGCTACTGTCGCCCTACTAATAAAAAGTAGAAGAAAAATATTCAGGTCTAAAAGGGTTTGTGGGGATGGTCAGGTCAGAGAAAATCATCAAAATGCAGCTTATACACATTTTTTAAAATAAAAAATAATAATTAAAAAAAAATAATTAATTGATGTGGGTCCATTTGACCGAAGTATAGCATTCATGGTTATCCCTTGTCCATGAATGCACACGTTTTGGAGCTTCTTCTACTCTCTTCTACTCCTTTTCTAGGTTCTGAAATTAGTCTGTTCTTGTTCACACTTTTAGCTAGCGATCTGTTTCGTTTTGTTTTTAATATCTGGGATATATTGTGTGTGTGTGTCTCCCTCTCAGGCCTCTGGGTGAACCTGTCCCTGTTACCTGTGATGGTGGGGCTGGCCCTCTGTACCGCGACAGAGCTCAGCTTCAACATGTTGGGCTTCTGTGCCGCCCTGTCCACTAATATCATGGACTGGTACTGGGACATATATTCATTTAGAGACACCTATACAGACATGAGACATGTATACAGAGACACCTATACAGACATGAGACATGTATACAGAGACACCTATACAGACATGAGACATGTATACAGAGACACCTATACTGACATGAGACATGTATACAGAGACACCTATACTGACATGAGACATGTATACATGTATACAGAGACACCTATACAGACATGAGACATGTATACAGAGACATGTACACAGAGACATACATACTGAAACATGTACACAGAGACATGTACACAGAGACATACATACTGAAACATGTTTACAGGCATGTATACAGATGTGTATGCTGAGATATGTATACTGATAGTGCCTCTGTCAGTATAAATGCAGCTCAGACCTCTTCTCTTAGTTTACAGAACGTGTTTTCCAAGAAGCTGCTCAGTGGAGACTCGTACAATTTCAGGTGAATTAATTGTTTTAAACCAAAACGCAGTAGAATTTAGAGTACTATGTACCTTTGTATCTGTCCGCTGATCCAATTTACCGGATCAGTGGTTACACGGGTCCGCCAGGACCAGAGGAGAAAGAACTTCCATGACCAGAGGAGACTGAACCTCCAGGGCCGTGTTGTGTGTGTCCTTCATGGTGTGTGTGTGTGTGTGTGTGTTTCAGCCCGGCGGAGCTACAATTCTACACCAGTGCTGCTGCTGTCCTCATGCTGGTCCCGGCCTGGGCCTTTCTCATGGTACATGTTCTCCCTTTTATACCCATTCCAATGATATAATTATAATTACATATATACAGTGCCTTGCGAAAGTATTCGGCCCCCTTGAACCTTTTAACATTTCGCCACATTTCAGGCTTCAAACATAAAGATATAAAAAATATATTTTTTGTCATGAATCAACAACAAGTGGGACACAATCGTGAAGTGGAACAAAATTTATTGGATAATTCAAACTTTTTTAACAAATAAAAAACTGAAAAGTGGGGAGTGCAATATTATTCGGCCCCCTTGCGCTAATACTTTGTAGCGCCACCTTTTGCTGCAATTACAGCTGCAAGTCGCTTGGGGTGTGTCTCTATCAGTTTTGCACATCGAGAGACTGGAATTCTTTCCCATTCTTCCTTGCAAAACAGCTCGAGCTCAGTGAGGTTGGATGGAGAGCGTTTGTGAACAGCAGTCTTCAGCTCTTTCCACAGATTCTCGATTGGATTCAGGTCTGGACTTTGACTTGGCCATTCTAACACCTGGATACGTCTATTTGGGAACCATTCCATTGTAGATTTGGCTTTATGTTTTGGATCATTGTCCTGTTGGAAGATAAATCTCTGTCCCAGTCTCAGGTCTTTTGCAGACTCCAACAGGTTTTCTTCCAGAATGGTCCTGTATTTGGCTCCATCCATCTTCCCATCAATTTTAGCCATCTTCCCTGTCCCTGCTGAAGAAAAGCAGGCCCAAACCACGGCCGAGTGTGGGTGTTTTTTCTTTAAAATAGTACCTCCTTAACATGGGAGTGGTTGTCAGACAACGTCAGTTACGCCCACGCGTAACGAGCAACACTGGTGGGGTGCATGGATTTATTATAATATCGGCGGGGTGACTGCTGGCTTTGTATTGAGCAAATATGCCTCCGTCCTTGTTTACACATTTACCAAGGTTATACGTATTTACTGACAGTATAATGTATGTAATGTAAAAAGAAGTAAAAGTATATGGTTGGAAATGGTAACTTTTGCACGTCTGTACAAGTTCCCTTTTCTGCACGTGTACAGACAAAAGAATGAAACAAATTCTTGATACAATTTCACATTTATTAAAAACCAAAATAAAGTGCAAAAGAAACAGTTTGCAAAGTATGTCTCTTGAGACAAGTACTCTGGTCACTCATTGCTCGTTTGTAATCTCCTCACTTGGGGGAAGGGATTCTCAAACAAATAAATATACACACCACAACTTGAGTACAAGCACAAAACAGAATGGCAACATGTGAAAGAGCAAGATACAGCACACTTGCACAGGAAGAACGTTTTAGCTTAGCATGCTATCGATAGCTAAATGTAGCCAGCTCAATGTGTCCACAGAATCAAACTTTTACACAAGTAGCTTTGCGTCAACAATAACTAGTTATTTTCAGGATTACCAGAGACTAGTCACAAATCAAGAGCTGGGCAATCTCCCTGAAAATCTTCTCATTCCGTGTTGTGCCGTCGAGCTGCCTTTGAATTCTTTCTTTGGCCTAAATAGAGTTACGTATGGACCTCGTCGACCAACCAGGATTTTAACTTTTGGGGCTTTCTGTGCGATTCCATTTCTCTCGAGTAAGGAAGAGGTATTCTAGCAGTGCAGCCGGTTTTAAAGATGGCGGGGTTGAGTTGTGTTTACCATAGGGTCGGACGTCGCTTCCAGGGACGACACTTGTTGGCCAATCAGTGTAAGGCAGTTGGCTGACGTCACATTCTGGTGTAGATTCGGAACGCTTCGAACCATTGCCGAAGTGGTACGAAAAAAGTACCCTGACCCCAACCCTAGTGGAAATGTAAAATAACCTAGCCGTGTCGTACCGTGACTATTGAAAAGCGGCAATATTGGACTATAATGGCACGTTCAGGCCGCCGACGCTGGAATGCAGCTTCCGCTCGCACCAGACGCACATTTTCTAGATTTCAGATGCAGGGCTGCTCAGACCAGAAGGCCTGCGGTGGCGCCCGCAAGAAGTGGCGGAAGTAGCGGGCGGACTTTGATGCTAACAAAGTTACGCTAGCGGTTTTTTGTGAAAAGTTCTTCTCCAAGAATGCAGCTCTGCAGCCTCTGTGTCCAGAGACTTTCCAGAAACGTTATATAACAGCAGTATGTGTTCACGGATGTGCGCCATACGTTTATTTTCTTATTAAACGGTACTTCCGCATCGGTGAACACGCTCAAAGCAGTTGCATACAGTCACGGGAGCATGAGAATGCATATGTTCACAAGCACTGTGTCCCCCATTGTCAACACTGGTTTAATCCTGGTGTAGCTCCTGTTTTGGCTGTTTACGAGTATGGTTGCTGCACGAGCGTCCCGAGGAAACGTCCAGCAATGTTTATGTGGTTGTGTTACTGTTGACACGGGTGTTTGCAGGACGTCCCGGCTCAGGCACACAGCCTGAGTTTGAGTCAGGACCTGCTGCTCCTGCTGCTGTTCGACGGAGTGCTCTTCCACCTGCAGAGTGTGACAGCTTACGCCCTGATGAGCCGCATCTCCCCCGTCACCTTCAGGTACTGTCACCGTCAGGTACTGTCACCGTCAGGTACTGTCACCTTCAGGTACTGTCACCTTCAGGTACTGTCACCGTCAGGTACTGTCACCGTCAGGTACTGTCACCGTCAGGTACTGTCACCGTCAGGTACTGTCACCGTCAGGTACTGTCACCGTCTCGTCTCAGGTTTGCGGTTTGGACCAGGCTTGCAAAGCTAATGTGTGCTCTGCTGCAGCAGAAAAGAGGGTTAGGTTTAACTGGTTTGTAACGAGGCAGGTCTCTGCATCTGGGCTCTCATCTGGGAACATGACAGCTCTCAGCTCTGGGACGGCAAGCGGTGCATCGATGGCAGCCTCATCTGGGGGAACAGGGAAGCACAGGGGTTACAAAGGCAGCACAGGGGTTACAAAGGCAGCACGGGGGCCACGAAGGCAGCACGGGGGCCACGAAGGCAGCACGGGGGCCACGAAGGCAACACGGGGGCCACGAAGGCGGCACGGGGGCCACAAAGGCAGCACGGGGGCCACAAAGGCAGCACGGGGGCCATGAGGGCAGCACAGCACTGTGACACGCTGAACACAAGAGCCTTGTGTCTGGTGGGCACTAACCCCAAGCAGTTGAAGGACTTTTACCTCCTTATCCTATTTTGTATATATGTTGCTATAAAATGTATATTCATCATTTTGCTGGGTTGCAATCACGTGGTCAGGAAGCGTTTAACTCCCATTAGTTTGACAGGGCGGGGAAATGGGCACATAGGAGCTATTCAAGTCTTGGTATAACTCTCATTTTGATAAAGCGTACGCCGTGTACAGCTTTAAAGTGATAGTCTGTAACTAAATGAATAACACATTTTAGGAAATGTGTTAAATTGACCTCCTGGCCTTAAATGTTGATATAAAATAAGTCATTTTATTAATTCTAATATTACGGGCAAGTCCCGCCTTCCCTGCTCTTAGCTATAGCTCAGAATCCACGGTGCCGTCGAGGTTAACCAATCGAGTCATGCCAAGGGCTGTCAATCATCTGCGCTGATGCTCGCAGCTACGCGCATGCGCAGTTGTTTGTTTTTGCGGAGCCTCCGAATCAAGCCTCCATTAGGCTCTGGAACTACATGAAAACTGAACTAAGAATTCTGAACATCCGCGCTGAGGTACTTATGTATATACTGAACCTATATCCATAATCAGATCCTCTGCAGGTGTGTCCTATAATGTGCAATTCATGATAATAGCACTTTTGGGTTTGCCACGATTGTTTTTTTTGTGCATGAAACCATTATTTTTTTCATTAAAACTTTAACAAATAATTCTGAAAACCTTCGTGCATGTGTATTAATAATGTTTATGTATAATGTGTTCTCTGATTAACATTTAAAAATGTTACGGAAACGTAGGTGTAGACCAATCAGAAAGGAAGGGGGAGGAGCTTGCGTCTTTTTTTTTCAAATCAAGTACCTCTCTCTCTTTCTGACAAACTGCAGACAATCACTTTAATGACTTCAATTTTTTCAACAATAAGGAAGATTAAATGGCTGTTATAGTGGCATCAGTGGAGCTAGCCGCTCTGGGATCAACAGAAGCCACGTTCAACATGAAAGTGAATAAATAGTGCTTAAATGTTATTTTTATCAACATTTGAGGCGAGAAATATGACCTTATATTGTCGATGCTGTGATATGTTGAGCAGTAATAAAAACTTTCGGACTTAACGCAACCGAACTTTTTAGCACACAGCTCAGATACTACTTTACAAAATACCCTGGTCCTAACAGTCCCAGTCGTGGAAATAAAGAAAAATCACTCTTTTAACATGATGGTTATATGAATGTTAGAAGACGTATTGCCCAGCCTCCTTTTCTTGTTTTCTTTATAGGAACATCTTGGTTTGTGATGTCTTTTTGGTATTTAAAAAAGTAAAATAAACTCAACTGTGTGTGTGTGTTTGTCTCTGCAGTGTGGCAAGCACTGTGAAGCATGCGCTCTCTGTGTGGCTCAGTGTCATCGTGTTCAGTAACCATGTGACCGTGCTGAGTGCTGCTGGCACTGCCCTGGTCTTCTGTGGGGTCTCTCTCTACACACTGGCCAGGCGGCTGGAGAGGGGGGCCAGGCAGCAGCAGGCCCATCATGGGGAGGGAAGCAAGGACCAGGACACCCCTTCACTCTGACCTCACAGCTGTTTGGAACTGAGACAGAAAAGTCCACATGTTACAGCCAAATGAACCCAATCAGACAGTGAATGTGCCTCTGGTGCATAAACATATTGTTGGACCCTGTGGGACCCTGCTGGACCCTTTTGCCGTGTATTTTGGCAAGACACTTCTCTTTGACAACTTTACTTCCACACTTTTCAGTGTGTGAATACATTCCACTGTGTCTACAGACCAGTCTTGTGTTGGTTAGTGGAGGTTAAACTTCCACATGATTTTTACCTGGATTACACAAACAAGCATCTCCAGAATCCATGTCAAAAAAGTGAAAAGTTTTTCTACTCTGTTTTTGTAATATATGAATGTGTGGTATAGGAATGGGACCAGACAGACCTTGAGTTGTTCCAGCACAACTCATCCCCTTCAGATAACTCATCTGTGACCTCATGGACAGAGCTACTGTATGTTGGAGGTTAAAGCGCTTTTCTGCCCTTTCAAACAAATGTCTAAATAAGTTCTGAGTCTAGACTATTAAATTGTCTTTATTTAAAGTGTGTGCTTATTATCGTTTCCCCATGATGAAATATGGGTGAGAAATAAGCCTGGTTCACATGGGCTGGTTTAAATAAATTAATCCAGGTCTGAGGGACCCCAGATATTCCAGTGCTGAGAGACCACATACAGTGCTGAGAGACCACATACATAACAATGAAAGTCACGGATATAAAGATGTGTTCGGAATGTTTGTGGTGCAGCCACAAAACAACACGCACACACCTGCCCAAGGACAGTTGAAGTTTGTTTTTATATTTTAACATTTGGTTCATTTATGATTTATGGATATTATCTCGGTTCTATCAACAAATTTCAACCATGAGTCTCCTTAGGTTATTTGAGATGTGAACGAAAGAGGCAAATATAAAGGTCACAGCAATATTTGGAGTTCTATGGGTACAAGACCATAGGGGTCCCCCAGACCTGAGTCCTGTGCCTCAGAACGGGCTCAGTGGTCATGGGCCTGTGGTCATGTAGTCAGGACTAGGGTCATACACACATGAGCCTAAGAGCCAATCAGGAGAGATACTAGCTTTCAGCTCCAAGCTAAAAGACCCACGTGCTCGGGGGATTCTCGCGGTACTGCAGACTAAACACGAGTGGCGCTTCTCCTTCAGACCTGCCAGGTTGTGTGTTTCTCATACAGTGGTGTATTTAAAATACGCTAGCCATGGTGAGGAGGAGGGAAATGTATGTTATTTATCTACTGAGACTAATGAAAATGCTGATGATCATGCGAGTCAAAGTGGGAGGGTTTAACTTGCAATATAAATGGGACTGAGAAGTATGATTGTAAGAAAGAGGATATAACTATAAAATGCAAGTGACAATTAAGATTGAGAGATCATTTTTGTCCCACAGTGTGGAAATTTCACATAGTAGGCAAAAGAGAGAGACAAAAATAGAAGAAGGTCCTTTATTCGTCCCACTACGGGGAAATTTCAGTTTGATGCATACACATATACATAGACATCAAGGCAAGCAGCAAACATCACTTTCGCGCTACTTGTAGGCAAAGTGGATTGTCTTGCTCAAGGACACAACGACAGCAGACATCAGTGGGAGTCGGAGAAGGTCTCATGGTGGGCTCAAACTCACAACCTTCGGGCTCAAAGGCCAATGCTCAACAAACTGAGCCACTGTCGCCCATCATAAAAATACTTATGAGACTGAGAAGGATGGGGAGAGGAAGAATCAGACAAAACAACGATTAGAATACAGTACATTTCTGACATACTGAAGTAATTTTGAAAATTCTATTGAAAGGAAGTCGATTAATAGGTTTTTCCAGTGATTGATAATTTGATAAGGTTATATCTTGTTTCGAGTTTTCCAGTTCATGAGAATAGTTTTCTTGGTGATGGTTACAGCTATGAGGATGATTTTGAGGTTTATTGTTTGGTTATAGAGTATTGAAAAGTCCCCTAGCAAGCAGATTGCGGCTGATACAGGGATGCGACAGCTCAGCAGGGAGGATAGTGACTGTAACCTCTTCCCATAAGTGTTTTATGGAGGTGCAGTCCCAGGTGGCGTGCATGTATGTGTCTTTGCATTTTTGAGTACAGTGTGAACAGATTTCAGAACCCCATTTAGGACAACCTTTCCCCAGTGTAGTGTGCTCTATGAATGATCTTGTACTGAAAGTTTACATTTTTAGTCATGAAATAAATGTTTTTGCAGATTAGACTCCAGAAGTCGGCATCAGGAGCAATCGAGAGGTCTCTTTCCCATTTGGATGTGGGTATACATGATGCTTGAAGTGGTTTCCGTATAATTTTGTATATTTAGAGAGTAGGTTTTTTATCAGAAGTAATGTTGATTAATTCTGATATTGCTGATGGGAGTTGTACATTTGCCGTCTTTATGTTTGTTTATTGTTATTGTGGATTTAATCTGGAATTTTTTCATAAATTGATTGCTCCCGATGCCAAACTACTGGGCTAGGAGTGGAAATGGAAAAAATGTGTTGGATTTGATAATGTGTAAGTGAGAGGTACCCTTTTCAGTCAAAAGGTTAGGGTGAGCCAAAAGTGAGTTGTTTTTTTATTACTTGGAAAATCCGGGTTATTCCAAAGTATGCAAAAACCAACCAACATGCATTGTTAATGCTGGGGAAAATGTAGGTACCCCAGCTTTAATTTTGTGAGTTAGTTTCAGTGCTTCAGGAAGAGACACAGGGACATGGACTACTACTGGTGGTGCCAGCAAACCAGCTGGTAAGCCAAATTCTGGAGGCTCGAACAACACTGTGGAGTTCAAAAACTGCTCCGAACAAGTGGCCATTATAACCTTGTGTGATTTAAAGTAGGGGTGGGAATTGATTAAAGAAGATCAACTAATTAATTACATATCTTAAAAATACTAATCATGATAAAAAAATGCCCAGGAATTAATCACAGCTTCATCGTATTGTCAGCCTCTAATAAACATTAATTCATATATATATATACATTGGGGCAATTTAGTCAGCCACCGATTGCGCAAGTTCTCCCACTAAAAATATCCATCCATCCATCCATTTTCTTCCGCTTCATCCGTTGCCGGGTCGCGGGGGCAGCAGTCTAAACAGAGACGCCCAGACTTCCCTATCCGCACACACTTCCTCCAGCTCGTTCGGGGGGACCCCAAGGCGTTCCCAGGCCAGCTGAGAGACATAGTCCCTCCAGTGTGTCCTAGGTCTTCCCCGGGGCCTCCTCCCGGTGGGACGTGCCCGGAACACCTCCCCAGGGTGGCGTCCAGGAGGCATCCGGAACAGATGCCCGAGCCACCTCAACTGGTTCCTCTCGACGTGGAGTAGCAGCGGCTCTACTCCGAGCTCCTCCCGTGTGACTGAGCTCCTCACCCTATCTCTAAGGGAGCGCCCAGCCACTCTGCGGAGGAAGCTCATTTCGACCGCTTGTATCCACAATCTCGTTCTTTCGGTCATTACCCAAAGCTCATGACCATAGGTGAGGGAGGGAACAAAGATTGACCGGTAAATTGAGAGCTTTGCCTTTCGGCTCAGCTCCCTCTTTACCACACCATGGCCTCAGATTTGGAGGTGCTGATTCTCATCCCAGCGGCTTCACACTCGGCTGCAAACCGTCCCAGTGCATGTTGCAGGTCCTGGTTCGTTGGAGCCAACAGGACAACATCGTCCGCAAACAGCAGAGATGAAATCCTGTGGTCGCCAAACCGGACCCCCTCCGGCCCCTGGCTGCGCCTAGAAATTCTGTCCATGAATACAGTGAACAGAACCGGTGACAAAGGGCAGCCCTAGCGGAGGCCAACATGCACCGGGAACAGGTCCGACTTACTGCCGGCAATGCGAACACAGCTCTGACTCCGGTCATACAGGGATCGAACGGCCCTCAATAGAGGACCCCGGACCGGGGAACACGGTCGAACGCCTTCTCCAAATCCACAAAGCACATGTGGACAGGTTGGGCGAACTCCCATGAACCCTCGAGTATCCGATGGAGAGTATAGAGCTGGTCCAGTGTTCCACGGCCGGGACAAAAACCACACTGCTCCTCCTGAATCCGAGATTCGACCAACGGCCGTAGCCTCCTCTCCAGTACCTTGGAGTAGACCTTACCGGGGAGGCTGAGGAGTGTGATCCCACGATAATTGGAACACACCCTCCGGTCCCCCTTCTTGTAGAGAGGGACCACTACCCCGGTCTGCTACTCCATTGGCACCGCCCCCGATCGCCACGCGATGTTGCAGAGACATGTCAGCCAAGACAGTCCCACAACATCCAGAGACTTTAAATAGTCAGGAAGAATCTCATCCACTCCCTTGGTGTCCTGGCAGAGGTCACCAAGGTGGTCACCAACCACCTTGGTGACCTCTGCCAGGGAGATGGAAGTATCCGCCCCAACATCCTCAGCCTCTGTCCCCGGGGCGGAGGACGTGACTGGGGGATTGAGGAGAACCTCAAAGTATTCCTTCCACCGTACGACAATATCCCCAGTCGAGGTCAGCAGCTCCCCACACGCACTATACACGGTGTTGGCAAAGAACTGCTTGCCCCTCCTGAGGCGCCGGACGGTTTGCCAGAATCTCTTCGAGGCCGACCGATAGTCATGCTCCATGGACTCTCCGAACTCCTCCCAGTCCCGGGTTTTTGCCTCTGCAACAGCCCGGGCCGCGGCACGCTTGGCCTGCCGGTACTGGACAGCTGCCTCAGGAGTCCCCCGAACCATCATCACTCGATAGGACTCCACTTAAAATATGTAGGTCTGTAATTTTCATCATAGGTACAGTATGTGCACTCAATCAATCAAATTGTATTTATAAAGCGCTTTTCATACAAAGAAAATGCAACACAAAGTGCTTTACAGTTTAGTTAAAAAACAATCCAATATGCCCAGCCCTAAACCCACCTCCTCACAGACCCCCCAAAAACCAAATTTATTATTATGCACACACACATACACACACACACAAATATAAAGTCACATCAGGTAAAATAGGTAAAA